GATTGAAACATTCTTTGTTTCATGGGGATGAGGTCAGCCACATGATATGGGTGGTTTTGGGAAATTGGGAATTTTTTCGACCATTGGAGTTTGGCAGCACAAGTGAGGAAGAAGTAGGAGGATACGAAGAGAGAAAATGTTCTTAGGTTAAGTTTGATATGTCTTGAAAAAGATAGAAAGTCATTATTCTATTTAATTTATATCATTTTATTTAAGTCACATTACTTCTCTAACACATCACTTCAAATTCAACTTAAACCCAACTCATATTTCATAAAAAGTCAAAAAGTACACTTATTTAGATCATCTCAAACAACCCCTTAGTTTTAAATTTTTTATCAAATATTTTATATGGGTATGAGATTTACATTATATGAGTCTCATATGATTTTTATACTCATGAGATATTTAACAAAAATTGTAATATTTTTAAGATAAGAAATTTAATATTTTAATAATATTTTGATTGATAGAAAGAATGGGAGTTATAAATTTATATTAAATAATTTAAAAATATAAAAAAATAATAAATTATAATTAGCGTGAGACAGTCCTGACGCTCCAATACTAACCAATTATTTTTGATGCTTCGGAGGGGAGAGATTTCTGTGTGAAGTCACTCTCAGGAGAGGAGCAAGGATCCTCTAGAGTGATTTTTTTCTAAAGTTTCCTAGAGTGCTACATTGTATGGTTGAGATTTACTGGCAAGTCGCATCAATTTTTCTGATGTGACTTGCCAATAAATCTCAACCACACAATGTAACACTCTAGGAAACTTTAGAAAAATTTTACTATAGAGGATCCTTGGTGTCAGGAGAGTATGGGTGTAATAATTGATTTGCTCTCCACATAAGAGAATAAGTCACGATTTGTCATAGGAGTCGAATATATGCATTTATTGCACCTTGTATCTCTCTCGCTCCTCCCGACCTTCTCTACCATGCCGCATAAGAAAACACAATCCATACGGACGTATAAGATTTATCAAAATAAATTATAATAATGTTATATTTACATAAAAAAATTTATCCGAATCTTCCTAATATGATTTTGACTGGTAAGAAAAAAAAAATTCAGTCAGAACTATAATCGGAAAATTTAAAAAAGAAAATTATATGAATAACGCCTCGTTTGGCAAGTGATTTTTTTAATTAAAAAATTAAAAAATTATTAAAAAAATCAAAAAATTAACAATTCATATCAAAAAATCAAAAATTTTCTTTTTTTTTTACTTTTTGCACATATTTTCGTAAAAAGTCAAAAAGTCATCTCAAACATACTAGTTTTTTTTACATCACATTTTAACTAAAAAGCCAAAAAGTTACTAAAAAAACCTGTTTCCAAACGAGGCCTAAATTATATTAACAAATTTAATAAAATTTTATTTTTGAGCAAATTACACCAACAGTCTCTATAGTTTGGGGGTCGTGTCACTTTAATCCCTGACTTTTCAATTGTGACATATTTGACCCTGAATTTTAAATCTTGTTCTAAATACGGACAATTGAAGATACTTTTACTTTATTTCAAAGGTAAAATTGTCAATTTAATAAAATATAAACTAATTTGACAAAAATAAATGTCAAAAAATTATTTTTAAATTTTTAAAAATTATTTCTACCAACCAAAGATAAAATTATGTAAAATTGATAAATCTTTTAGACATTTATTTATTTTTTTACCAAATTAAAAAGAAAAGAAAAAAAAGAATGGGTCCATTGTTCAAACTTCGAGGAAAATGGGTTGCAAAAATCAGAATCGTTTCTTAGGTTTAGTTTCACAAGTAATTTTTTTAATTAAAAAGTTAAAAAATTATTTAAAAAATTTAAAAATTAACAATTCATACCAAAAAGTCAAAGATTTCCTTTTTTCTTTACTTTTTACACATATTTTCGTAAAAAGTCAAAAAGTCATCTCAAACATACTAATTTTTTTTACATCACATTTTAACTAAAAAGTCAAAAAGTTACTAAAAAAATCTGTTTCCAAACGAGGCCTAAATTATATTAACAAATTTAATAAAATTTTATTTTTGAGCAAATTACACTAACAGTCTCTATAGTTTGGGGGTCGTGTCACTTTAGTCCCTGACTTTTCAATTGTGACATATTTGACCCTGAATTTTAAATCTTGTTCTAAATACGGACAATTGAAGATACTTTTACTTTATTTCAAAGGTAAAATTGTCAATTTAATAAAATATAAACTAATTTGACAAAAATAAATGTCAAAAAATTATTTTTAAATTTTTAAAAATTATTTCTACCAACCAAAGATAAAATTATGTAAAATCGATAAATCTTTTAGATATTTATTTATTTTTTTACCAAATTAATTTTTATTATGTGTTTGAATGATAATCATGTAATGAGTGATTGTTAAGATTTTAATGTGTAATCGATATATTTAATCAGCAGTGATTTAGACCCTCTCAAATTTCAACCCCCACCACTCCCCACACACACACACGTGGCGGATGGTGATTAGAGGAGGTGAAAAAAAAGAAAAAGAAAAAGAAAAAGTGACCAATCAAAAAAGAAAGGGGGTCAAAAGGGGGTGGGGGAAAGGAGGTCCCAATCTTTATTCATATTTAATATATGAAATATTTTTAGTTTTAGATTTTTTAATTTAATGGATTTGTTTAATAATGATATCAAAGTTGTCGTCACATTTAATTTTTAGAAAAATATAAACTAATTTAACGAAAATAAAAATAACAACCCATTATATGATTATCATCCAAACATATAATAAAAATTAATTTAGTAAAATAAATAAATAAATGTCTAAGAGATTTATCAATTTTATATAATTTTATCTTTAGTAGGTATAAATAATTTTTAAAAATTCAAAAATATTTTTTTTTGCCATTTATTTTTGCCAAATTAGTATATATTTTATTAAATTGACGATTTTGCCCTTGAAATTAAGTAATAGTATTTTCAATTGTTCTTATTTAGAATAAGATTTAAAATTCAGGATCAAATATGTTACAATTGAAAAATTATGAACCAAAGTGACACAAATCCCAAACTATAGGAACCATTAATGTAATTCGCCTTTTATTTTTTTATGGTTCATAACAAAAGTCTACAAGGAATGGTTAAAAAAATTATGGGCAAATTGTTCTTTATTTTACACCTTATTCCATTTTCTCTCCTAATTCTTTAATTGTTCTAATTAATTCTTTAAATTTTGAGTCAAATTGCAATTGAGTTCCATCTTATAACCTCGGCTTGAAAACTAGACTAAGTGAAATTTCTGATAAAAACTTAGGGTGTTAAGTGTAAGTAATAAAATTATATGATTGTTTTCCTTCAATTTTCAAAACTGTGTTATACAAATGGACACAATTGCAACCTCACTCGAAATCTAAAAATTAATTGAAACAATTAAAAGATCATTACACAAAGTAAGATTTATGTAAAGTATAGGAGTGCAATGTAAAATTTACTCGAAAATTATCTACCATAATCATACAAACAACCACCACGATCTTATTTTATCAAAATTTCTATTCATTTGTCACATTATATTCCTAATTATACGATTGTATCTCAAGATTCTTGCGTTTTGAAATTTTTTGCTATTGAAAATGAATTGGGAACATGGATTTGGGAACCAAGAAACCACCTTCATGAATCAGACGGTTATATTTCCTGATGAGACGAGTGTGAGAAAGGTTAAAGGTGTTCAACAACTACTACATGTGTCCAAAAGGGTTCGAAGGAGAGTTGATGAGAGATGGGCAATTGGCATAGATTCCAAATTTTGTATTTTTGGTCTTTTGTAGAGGGTTAGGTGCACCATGTGAACTAATGATTTCTTTTTTGTTTTGTTTTTTATATACCCAGACCACCAAAGTGGGGGGACTACACGAATCTCTTCTCCTCGGCTATCAAGTGGTCACTAATTTGCTATGTTTAGAGAAAAAATATTGAGTGGTGTTAATAAAAATTTATAAATGAATCAAGTAAATTGATTTTGTTTTTATTAACTTAACATTATTATGATTCCTATTGTAAAACAAAATTATTCATTAGATAATAATACCGTCACGTTACGTTCAATATTAACTTCTCCTGATTAAAACAATATCAAAACCAAATTCGATTTATTATAGTTATTTTTTAACTTGTTATATATGGCTTTGGGAATAAAATATATATATATATATATATCACTTTTTTTAACTCCAATGCACTAGGCATATGATTAGGCATTTTAGCTCATCTCAAATTCACTAGCTACATGTAGCTAGCCTTCAAGACTAGGCAAAATGTATTTAATCATTAAGATTATTTCCCTCCATCTTTGTTGCTGACGTGGCATTCTATGAAGTTAATAATATTTGGATGAATAGCTAAAATAAAGAGCATGGTTGGAGTAGAAACATGAAAAAATTGACAAGCAAAATAAAAGGTATACTTTATAGTAATATTTAGATAGGTAAAATGCCTACTACCATTGGAGATGCTCTTAATAGTGACTTGTCATTCTAAGTTTCACATTAATTTTTCCATATTCCACTCTAGATTTGACAAATCTTTTGTCTCTCACCAATGTATATGAGTTTCAAATATATAATTTTTTATTTCTTACTTATTTAATATGGACAAATTGTGATTGTTGGTGTAATTTTACTATGTAATTAGAATTTTTAGTTTTGTTGAGCTTTTAATTTGTAAAATTTTCAGTAGTTTTAAAATTTCCCCTTGTTACTTTTGGATAGTGTAAATTTAAAGAAAAACAGATAATTACAAAAATGACTTCTGCAAATATTGAGAGTCAAATTTAGCCCAAGATTTAACTTCACCATTTTCTTACAATGAATTTAGTTCACCATATGAGAGCATAATTTTATGAGAATTATCTTCTTCTTTTTTTCACTTTGACAATCATTTTGTCTTTGGACTTTAATACAGAGTAGTCTCATCCAATTAAAACAACCATCTTTTCTACAGCTCAAATATAAATATTAAAAAGTATAAATAAAACTCTTACCTTCCAAGTATAATCCATTGCAGTTATAAAATTCAACAAGAACTTAAAATAGAACAGAACAATAATTTCATTGTACCTATGAAGACAACATTTTAGGGGAAAAAATCAAATAAAGATTGGCAAGCCTGCCAGGGTTCCAATTATTTTCAACTACAACAGAAAATCCTAAAACCAACAAATTCTAATTATTTCTATAAATAAAATAAAATCCTACAAACATAGCACCCTAACAACACTACTCTGTCATCTTTTCCTTATTCCTCTTGTTCTGCAAGCAATGGATTTAAATCTTTTCATATATTGCGCAGAGTCGAGGTTTCAGATGAACTACTTGGCGAGTCGCCTCCGGTTGGATTCAGTGCTGGACCACTCACAAGAGAAACATTACCGCCACTTTCCATTTCAGCCACAACCGGGATTTTCACAGCCGCTCTTTCCATCTCCTTCTCGAGTTCTTCCTCGCGACGCAAAGTAGTGAACTGAGTATCCAAAGACCTGGCCGCTGCTAACCATGCTAGAACAATCACTAAAAGTATTCCTCCAAGGTATGGGGTTGAGTTTGCAAGTGACCCGAAAGTTAAGATCATGAACTGCTGGATCAGAGCACCGCCGGACTTCCCCAGTGGGTTGCAGACAACATCGATGGCAGCCTTTCCTTTAACCTAATGGACAAGGAACGATGGAATAAGAACAAATTGAAATTGAAATTGAAAATGAAAATGAAAATGAACCACAACCGCTGAAAAAAAATTGAGGTGAATTCATCAGGGATTTTCTGGATCCTGACAAGTACTAACCACTCGACTACGGACACTAGACACCTGACCCAAATGTAAAGGGTGTTTTTGGCATTTCTCACATAGTAACATGTTGTCCTAATTCTATGTATATGCAGTTGAGGGGGGAATATCTCCATATCTCTAGTGTAACATTTTCTTATCGTAGTGGAACATCAACGACTGTGGATGTAGCCCTAGTTTTGGGTTGAATCATGTAAATCTTGTGTTCGTGTGTGTGTGTGTGATTTACAATTCTTGTGTGTTTGTTCTTCTCCCTATTTTTTGTCTCACTATTCCTGGTTAGGTGTTATGGATTCCTAACAGAATTGATGTCTAGGTTTTATGATCAAGTGAGATCTCAGAAATGTTGACATCTCTTTTTCAGCTCAAGCAATTTTGAAAGTTGTCAAAAAATGTTTCCATCCCATATTAGTCATTGGGACAATTCAAATTTCAGAATTGCAATTCATTTTCATTACGGCACAAATTGATGCCAGAATCAAATTACAAAACCATTAGTAGTGAGTAAAAGCATCGAACCTTGGTTTCCTCATCTAAAGGAATATAGGCCATTTCTTTGCAGGGATCAAACAAGCTGTACTTTGCACTCTTGCTAAAAATATTCTGCATTGCGCCCACATACACGGCTGCTAGAAGTGGACTCATCCCAAACTTCAAAAGAGTAGGTGCAATTGGATCGCCAAACAAAAGTAGAGAAAAGAAGCCAACTCCTGTGAGAAGCAAGACCGTGGGCGTGATCTTGGCTGCGACTCCCCAACCATATTTGTTAAATATCCATTGGCTTAGAAGCATCATTGTGAACGTTGTTATCCCAGTCACAGTTGAGAAGTCACCCATGAAGGACGAGTACTCGTTAGGGCTTGGAAACTGCAAAATTTAGAGTGTTCAAGTCTGAGAGAGAGAGAGAGAGAGAGAGTAAAATTCAAAAGCAAATGGTCTGCAAAGAACTATAGGAGTTTAATATCGCGTACTTGAGCTTTGAGCTTTGATTTCCATGTAACCTCAACAAGGTTGATACTAATACCGTATGCAACCACCAAAGTGGCAAGATCTCTGATGTATCTTGAAGACACCAAGAACTTTAAGCTTTCCATTGTCCCCATCTTCGGTTTCTCCTGTCAGGGGATTAAATTCCTGTTATGCAAACGATTACTTGAAAAAAGAAGGTGAATTTCCTAACAATGGACCCATGGAGGATCTGCACATAAAGTTAAGTTTTTCATTTGAGCGCCAGAAAGACAGCATCTGAACTAGGTGGCAAATTCAACCTGAAACCAAGAACCCACCAAATTTCACCCACTTGAAACCCCTTTAAACCCATCCAAATTCATAAACGGGTTTAAATGGGTTGCATCTTGTGAAACCAATTAAAATTGGGTTTAAATGCGTAAGACATGCATTACCCAGTTAAACCACCACCTCCACCACCACCTCCTCTATGACCACCACCATCACCACTACAAGCACTGCCGCCTCCTCCACCACCATTAGAAAATCAGTTAAATAAAGTAAACGGGTTGATCGGGTTGATTTGCCCAACCTGTATCTAATTCAACCCAACCCGCTTAAAGCCATTTATTAAATGAGAAGGTTTAGATTGGGGCTTTTTAATGCACATCCATTTCCCTAACCTTCCAAACCCACCTGTTTGCCACCTCTAATCTGAAGGCAATCCAACCAAAGACTGCAAAAATAATAAAGTGATTTTCCTTTTCATATTAGTAACAAGGCTCTATCCAATGACAACATAGTTTTAGCTTTGCCAGTACCTACATGAAGATGGAATGCCATTTTCGCCCCGAAACAATTTAGTAAACAGAGTAGTTTATGACCAGATTTTTGGCATCAGAAAACAGACTAGTGGTGGCTAAAGGATCACAATAGCTGAAATATAATACTTAAAGAGAGAGGATTCTTGAAGAGGATTTACCTTCTTCTTCTTACTTCGAGCTGGAAGGGGAACATAATTATCCACCCACCAATAAATAAAACAGATTGTAAGCCCCATAAGCACCACAATGCTCATCATTGCTTTCAATGAGATGGCCCAACCATCAACTCCAGGACCCAAATTTTTTCTCATATTAGAGAAGTACTTCACAGTTCGACCAGAGAAAATAAGGGCAACATTGGCTCCAAGTCCAAAAAGAGGGTAGAAACTTTTGGCTTCCTCAACTGTAGTAATCTGCAAAACAAAAACAGAAACCAAAAACACAAATGCAACAGTTAATTGCAGCACCAGCCAAATCATTGGAATAGGGAAATTTCAAGTGCATTTTCAAAGCTAGATTCTGGAAGGATCTATCATTTGCTCACAGAACATCAGAAAAGAATAAATTGGAGCTTAACCACATATAAAGACCTAATTTTGCCCATTTTGATCAGCAAGACACAGGAGAGGAGAACAAAGTTTATACTTTTACATATTATGAAACACAATATCAAACAAAAATTTGAAGCATTGAGATGTGGATGATTCACATGTGCTCAAGTCATTAATATATGTGGATGACAAAAAAAATGGTAACTAGTTCTTCTTTGTTTTTTTTGTTATTAGACCAGAAGGGCATACATAACTAGTTCTTTTGTACAGTTTCAAAGTAGGACAAAAACTGGTCGCTTTTCTAGTAGTCCAAATGATAATACCATAGTCCAAGATTCACCCGAGTCTCAGTTTTCAAAATTATAACAGCAAGTATATGCTGAAATTATTCTCCACTACTACATTTCTTTTGAAGTTCATTAATGGGCATATGAAATTAGCTTTGTGTACACTGGTCAGTTAACATATTCTAATCAATATTGACATCAATAATTGAAAAAATAAATAAATAAATAGAACACAATAGAATTTCTTAGATCACCAAAATTACGGTATTTCAGATGACCACTCATGCACTTTGTGCATCAAACAACTGGATGCAAGCAGCCAAAATTAGCAATTACAGCCAAGTGTCCTCTCTCCAACTCCAACGTACTTGGGACAAGCTTAGGAACTTTAGAAGGAAGTCCATGATACATATTCCCGTAATGAGCCAAATGACTCCTCTGCCCAACTTTATTTAAGGAGAAGGTAATTAAAGGGATTTCACATAACAATGTCTCTATCGGCATATGGCACGTGCCATGTAACCAAGTTTGACGAAGTGACTTTGAATGACACAACTCAAGTGAAAGAAGCAAATTTTTCCTGTACATGACATGAGCAACTAGGTGGTTTCATATATGGCAATACTTAACATGATGAAGTGGAGGCCAAAGTGTTGCCAAGATGAAATATGCTAATCATGTCAAAGGCAGAAAGCCAACTTTGGTCTCAACAGTATGTCTGTATAGAGAATATGGTGAAGAAAAAAGTACCACTTGTTCCTTTCAATTTTCCTATTTACCCCCATGTGAAGCGAGAAATAAATAATTCCATAGCTATGAGAACAGTATGAAATTATAATTCACCTTTCACACAAATCAATTGGCAAAACAAAGCAATATATAGTCCAGAATGGGTTGAATTATTGAATATAATTGGGTTGTGGCACATTGGCAATAAGAAAGGATCCATTATATACAACCGAGTCATATATAGGGGATTAACAAAATAATAAGCACAAAATAAAGTAAATGTGTATGTGTGTGCAAAAATAATTTTCCTGCTGGTGAACTGAAACCAAAGTTAGATCATCTATACTACTATAATATGTGAAGACTCCTCATGGTGTTGACACAAATATGTCTCATATTTTGGGTTTTCCCAAAATACCCCTGTACTTGGTGTTTTATGTAAAAATTATATTAAGAATAGGATGGGACTCAAAACTAAGATCATGTGTTTGACAAAGAAAACACTTACCACTTGAACAACTCATACTATGTGTGCATTCCTCTTTGTCATTATTCTTATATTATTATCTTTTTTCTAATTGCACACGCACCACATGTGCAGACCGCTAGTACTGCTAAAGAGAAGACATGTACATCAAGCCAATCAAATAGATCATACTTTTATTTCATGCAATATCTTACGCCCCCATGCTTTATTACAATCTTTGGGAGTGCCTACATAACATAACATCCAAATTCATACAACAAAGCAGGCATACAAAGTTACGAACACTTCAAATTCAAATGAAATCAAAAGGGAAAAAAAAATGGGAACCCATCAGACATGCCAATCAATCAAAATTGCAATCATGTCATATGATAAGTTGAAATACGAGGAAATCCCTTCCATTTCCCTGAAGTCCATAACCGAACAAGACCAAGTATCCCAAACCAAAATCCAAACATAAGAGAAGACATCAAAAATTCAAAAATAAACCGCACAACACAGATGCTATAGAACCCAACTAAACAGATTACTCCTATAAGATTATCCTTTAAAATAGCATAATTCATGACAAAGAAAACAATAATCAAGTGACAGAATTACATAAAAAAATTTAAAAAATCAAATTAGAAACTTAAAACAAACTTGAAAATGATAAGCAGACAGATAGATTCAGAATACAGAATATTCCATCACCTGATTGGCAAACCCCCAAAACAGAACTGAAACCACCACACTACCCCAGAGCTCAGCCATGACATAGAACAGACAGAAACTCCATATCCTTATAATCGCTATAGGACCGAGGAACCTCGGCCCAAGCGTAGCTAGAAGCTTATCAGTAAAATCTGTTGGGTGGAAATAATGGCTCATAGGATACAAAACAAACCCAAAAGCCCCGAAAAAGGCGATGAAAGGGAGGATGACTGTATAGAAGAGAGCCTGCTTTGACAACACATTAGCCAATTTGGTGTACAACAGCATAAACCCAATAGCCATGGGCAAATTGACCCAAGTTTTCAAGAATGGTATAATCTCAGCACTAGAGCCTTTAGCTGTGACAACCAAAACATCTTTGGTGTCCCTGAGGATTGTGTAGTTAAAGAGAATACAAAAGAACATCAACCCAAGTGGTACAATCTTTTTCAGGGTCACAATCTCAATACCCATAAATTTGAGTGAATCCACATCTCCCAGAAGTGGCTGCCCATCAGCTGGTGCTGCTGAGGCAGCCTCAGCCCTGCAGATATGAAAAGTTCTGCCATTTCCACCAACCCTATTAGGTTTTGTTACAAACCCTTGAAATTTTGAGAACCCATTGAGAGATAGAGAGAACCCATCAAGGGGTTTGGGTTTCAAGGGGTTTAATCTATGCCTGAGTCCCTGTGATTGGGGTTTGAAAGCCCTGGCCTTGGGATTTGAAGGTAGTGAGAGAAGCCCTTTTGTTTGCAGAAGAGCTTGCATCGTTACTCTCTAACCCACCTTCAAGAAACCCGAAGAAACCCAAAGATTGGATTCTTAAGAGAAGAACATGAGAGACAGAGAGAGGGGGGTGATAATTTTCTGAGGCTGGATTGGGATCTGGGTTGCCTTCTAAAATTTTTTTTTATTTTTTATTATTATTTTAGTTTGAGTATAAAAATTTTTTGTTTGTAATAATTTTTTTAAATTTTTATAAAAAAAATAAAATAATTATAAAATAAATGTGATATTTTATTTTATTTAATTAAAATAATTTATTTTATTTTATATAATTATTTTAATCCAAACACCGGGCCTGAGTGAGATTTGGGGAAATAGATTTCACACATCAGTGAAGAAACATAAAACCCTTTTCAAAGTTGAGCCTTGAGAATGACAAAATTGGGCAATTGAATAAAGAATAAAAATCAGTGAAAGAGGAAAGGAAAATCTTGGAAAAAGCTTCGGACCTGGTGGGGGTATTGGGGTCAAGTGTGATTGGTCTATACAAAATATATATATATATATTTTTATTTTCTTTTTGTTTTTTGTTTTTTTTTTTATGTTTTTCGCCAATTCTATACTGTCACGTCACTGGGGATCCGAAGCACGGCTCGAAAATTTTTTTGCAATTGTTAAACTTCTTGTGAGAACAAAGTTGTTCTTTTTTTTTTTTACACATTTTGTCAAGAAAAAGAGTATTGCTATTAGCACCTGTCAAAATTATCTCCATTTTATAATTTTTTTTATTACAATTATATCCTAAAGTAAAATTACATTAAAAAAATATTATTAAATGGAACACTCACCTATCAATAAGAATTAATACTCTATAATATTGGACACTCACCTCTTAATACTCTATAATATTGTATACTCACCTCCACCCTTACCCCACCCCCACCTCCACCCCCACCTCCAACTCTAACTATACATATTCCATGTTTGTAAACCCTAAACCTATTACTTTTCATAACCAACTAATATTAGGGATGCAACTCGGGCAGGTTCGGAGGTTGTCCAAGCCCAGCCAAGTTGTGCTGAGATCTGCTCAGGCCCGTCCAAGTCCGAATTGTAACTCAAGGTTGCCTGTCCAAGCCCGATCCCAGTTAAACTCGAATTGTCCGAGTTGCCCGAATTACCCGAGTTGTAAATGAATTTTATTTTTTTATTTTTTTTGCAGCTACATTATTCGCTATAATAGTCTTTACAATTTATGAGTAAAAATAAAAATAAAAATAAAAAGTAAGATTTTATGTTATTTATATATATAATATATATTTAACATGATTTAATAATTTAAATTACTTTAATATCATGTAATGGCTAATAATTTGTATATATATATATATAAATAATATTTTTATATAACTATATATTTATAATTTGGGTTTCGGATTGCTCGGATTGTTTGATGTCTTTGCCCAAGTTCGTCCAAATTTAATTTGGGCTTTTGAAATTTTGCCCAAGCCTGTACCAAATTTGAAAATATCTTGTCCAAGCCCTAAAAAAAATCGGGCTAGGTTCGGGTTACTCGGGTTGAGCCCGCCCAAGTTGCACCCTTAACTAATATAAACCCTAAATCTATTATTTTTCATAATCATCTTAAATCCTGAATGTGTCATCTTCATCACCATCATCGACGTTATTGAACTTGAAAGTTTTGCTTCAAGTATAACGTATACTTCATCACTTATTTCACTGTGTAGAGCAATGAATGACGAGGTCAACAATTCTAGTGAGACCGTCGTTCTATTAATAAGTTTATATGTCTTATATTAACATTCTCGGTTGTTTTCGGTCGTTCTTGTTTCGTTCGAGCTGTTCGGTACTGGTTTGCTGACTGTTAGAATTATGTTCGGTAATACAGTACTGAACATAATTCTTTCATTCAATACATAGGTTCCGAACTTTAGTGTAGATAGTCAGTTATCTAATATTCTTTGTTAAACTAACTTAGAATGGAAAAGAGTGAATTGGAATGGATTTAAGTTATGTATTTTGAATGGATTTAATTCATGTTATTTTAAGTTGTGAATTGGAATGGATTCAAGTTACACAGTGATGAACAAATTTTGTTCGGACATACAGTGCTGACAGGATCATTATTGTTCGACAAAACAGTTCTGAACAAAATACATTTTTTCAGCTACACAGTGGTGAACAAATTGTTTTGGGCTACATTCAGAATTCTGATAGCGATTCAGACGATGATTCTGATGGCGATTCAGACGATGATTCTGTTTTTCCTCATCTTGCAAACGGTTATGCAAATCCCGTAGAAATTAGAGTATCTTCGATCGATCTCAACGATGACGAACATACAAAAAGCAACAAAGAAGATGATGATGAGAGGATGAGAGGGGTTACTGATTCGGCGATACGGAGAGCGTTCAGAGAAGATGAGAGTCGTCGGAATGCTCCGTTGACGGTCGAGATGGCAATGAGAGTGATGGAGGGTTGGGATCCAATAATTCTATACTGGACTAAAGCTCCAAACTCTGAAGATTGAGTGAGTCAGGGAAGGAGAGGGATGCAAAATTTGGTGGGTGTGCATTTCATTGTCAAAATATTATAAATATGAGTAGATTTGGTAATAAGTGGGGTGTCCAAAAAAATATTATTAAAATTTAGGGTTTAGGGTTGGGGTTCAAAGAAATAGGGGTCCAAAGAATTTTGGTATGTGCTAATAGTAGCACTCCAGGAAAAAATATGTAATTAATTGCATTGAAAATTTGGAAGAATAGGAAGACAATTGATTTGTGAGAGAAGAGAGGTTATTTTGGATGATCTGAGTATTTTTTTGATTTTTTATAAAAAAAAATATGTAAAAAATAAAGAGATGATACGATTTATAATTTTTAAAAAAATGACCTACAAGAAATAAAATGATAAAAAAAATGTGTTATTTTAGGAGATACCAAATAGTCCCTCGGTTGATCAAATAATAAAAATTATTAATTATCTAAAAGTCTTATTCACCAATACTATGGTAGCTTAGGTTCTGTCCAAGATTGTTTGAACCAACAATCTAAAAACATTAATCAATTTTACACAGCAATATTCTAGATAGTTATTTTGCTAACTGAGAAAAAAAAAATGGAGCATGAGACTAAATGTTTTTGCCCTATGCTCTTTGATTTGATTTGATTATTTAGTAAAACTAAAAACATTATTAGTTTTTTTTTTTAGTTTTAAAATTGAGAACATTATCAATTTTTTTCAATTTTAAAACTAAGAACACTGAGAAAAACAAATAGAGCATGGAATTAAATAGGTGACTTCATTCTTATGAACTTTATATCTGAGAAAAATGATATTAAAATCAATGTTGAAATTGAAATCAAAATCGAAATTAAAAAAATAGTTGAATCTAACTTGTTTCCACCATTTTGCTTCTTCAAATTTGAAAAGTCTTGAATTGTTGAGCCAATCTATAACGTCGTTGATCACAATTTTGTAAACCTCAAGGTATCAAGAAAGAAAGTGATCTAAAAGAGCTCATCAAAGAGCACTTGCAACGAGAGCTCAATCAACAATTTCCATCTCCAGTGAGAAAGCTTCTTCAGAGAGCTGCATTTTACTTCAAAGAAGTTTTTTAGTCTCTGATCATGGGGTCGACTCATTCGACTCGTAATTCCTCTTATTCAAAAGTTGTTTAAGCGATCAAAGCGTACAAGAACTTCTTGATCGTCTGTCCGATCGTCTTGTTCTCTAATTTCACCACCAATCAAGCAATCCTTGTAGCTATGGACAATTCAATGTTCATTCATGTGATTGATTTCAACATCAAATTTGGAGGCCAGTGGGCTTCGTTCATGAAGATAGTCGTTGATTGAGCTGAGACTCGCAAATCCAATACTCTAATTCTTCGAATCATTGTAGTTGTTACTGAAGAAAACGGAGTTAAATCAATTGATCAGAGACAATCTAAACTAGTTCGCTCAAGAGCTCAAAATGTTCGAGATTGAATTCGTTTCGAATTCTTTTCTTTTCAAAGCAATCAAAATTTGTAAGGATAGATTGGTCATATAAAGTTAACAGTGGACTTATGGGGTGCCTCTATTTACACACCACAAGTCTCAAAGCACACCATTAATTAGTTATTTTTTATTACAATAATGACCTTACTAAAATGATGAAAATGACCAACATTTCACAGAGATGAGTAAGAGAGAAAGAGAGACCACCAAAGTTTCACTTTGAGTTGTTAATGGCCATTTAGGGTTTCTATTGATTCTTCTACCTCCTGATAATCAAACCCCTTTTCCATTTTTCTCTTCCTTGCTATCTCTTTTCTCGACCCTCCAAAACCCTAATTTCAATTCAATTCGAGTTTCCAATTCAATCTCGGAAGCTTTTGTACTGAGAAGCGTGATGGGTGCCCAAGAGAAATCTCTGACAGCGAAGCATTCGATGCAGGTGAGGGGTTTCACTGTTGAAGCAAAATCTTATTTCTTTTGCCATAGAATTGAGGTTCTCATAGTTTACTTGTTATTATTGAGGTGGTTCTTAAATACGGACTTCAATTATGTGGTTTGATTGTATTTTGTCATGGTGAATTCACTTGCTTTTGATGCTGTAAGCATAAAATTGTAATATTATAGTGTTTAATTTGCTTATGTTTAAGAGTTACAGTGGGATTCTAGTTTCTTGGACTCTATGTTGGTTTACGTTGCTTGTTTGAATTTGAGGTGTGTACTAAGTGGTGTGGGATTAAGGGTAAAAATGAAACATTGTTGTGTGTGTTGAGAAAAATTATATTTTTTCAAATTATTAAATGTGTGAAATGAGTAGTGATGTGCCTTGAGACCAAATGTGGTGTGTAAATAGATGCATCAATTCGATTCCAGTTTTCAGTCAGTCAGTTCAGTACCTTAGGTAGTTCAATTATCAGTCAAAATCAGTCTCGGTTAACAGTAATTAGCGGTTAATCAGTCATTAATCAGTAAACAGTATGAGGGTTGTTACAGAAATGAATAGTGATGTGCCTTGAGACCAAATGTGGTGTGTAAATAGATGCACTCGGACTTAAGGGTTTAAAATTTTATGAGTAGGATCTAACCCATTATTATTTATCAAAATAAGACTTGACTAGAAATTTTCCTATAAAAAATATACATATATTTGTCAAAAGGATCTACATTCTAGACCTAGAAGTGTAAGCGTATCATGGGAGTTTTTATTTACACCCATACATTTTCTCATTACACCCGGCATAATTTTGGTTGAGAAATGGGAGGGTTTGGGCATAAAATTGACAAGCCTCAAAATAGAAGTGGTTGAATTTTATAAAATAAATTATTTTTACAAAAAAATAAATTGATATCCATTGTTTTTTTTTTTATTAATGATCCACTCAATTAATCTTGAAAAATAAACAATTTAACTCATTAAAATGAACCCACAATAGGCTAAAATGAACTCAAAATGAACCCATCACTTCAACCTCTGAAATTGAATCCTAAATAATAATAATAAAAACAATAATATTACTAATTCAGACTTAATTATCTAATTTTTTTTGAGAATTATCATCTTGTAATTTGGATTCTATACATAAATTTCGCACTACATAAATTTAATCATCACCACCGCACAAACTCCTATTTTTGAAAATTCTAGATGGTTAAGTTTGACACGACATACTTTTTCTAATTTAATAAAAAATGAGTATCTCACTTTCTTCATATTCTACCCGTTGAGCCTTTTTTTTATAAATATTTAAAAAAATCAAATTATTTATCAAAATAATTCACTCTTCAAATTATTTATCAAATTAATTTACTTTTTAAAAAACGTAAGTTTAAAATGTAATTTCATATTAACTTAACTTATTGATATATAAATATGGGTCATGTCAATATGAAATTACAAGTTTAAGATACGATTTCACTACAAAATAATATTTGGAATCTACGATTTAAAAAGGTGAATTAATTTGATAAACAATTTGAAAAGTTAGTTATTTACATAAATAGTTTAATTTTTTAGAATATTTAAAATAAAAAAAATAAAAAAATAAACAATTAATTTTTTAGAATATTTAAAATAAAAAAAATAAAAAAAATAAATAAACTTCTCGTCTACCTAAAAAAAATGGTTGTCAAATTCAAAATGCAATGTGCATATCAAAATTTTATGCCACAAACCAATAACCAAATAGCATGTCCTTTTTTGTTTCTTCAATCACAACATTTAAAAGAGTTTAGGATTGACTTTTTTTTTTTTAAAGTACTTTTTTGATTTTTTTTTAAGAGATAAAATATGTTTAGAAATAATTTAGGCAAATTACAAATGGTTCTTATATTTTACCTCTTATATTATTTTTGATCTTTACATTTTTAATTGGCTTAATTTTAACATTTAATTTTAGATTTTGTTGAATATTATATTTAAATATTTTTATATTTTAATTTTTGAATATTATAAGATAAGCAATTAATATAAGGCACTGTTGTAATAAAAATTAGGAAGAGAAATATTTACAGAGAAACTTTCGTATATTTTATTTTTTTTATTTTTAATGTCAAAATAATTTTTATAAAGGGCGCTTTTTCAATAAATCCATTATCTAAGAGTATTATTCCATAAGACCCATAATGTTTTATAATATTTCATTAGGTCCATTTCGCACCAAAAGACCAAAAAAATCCTCAAACAAACACACGCCTATGTGTCTTTAAATCTAATCATCGTCTCTATCCCCCTCTATTCTTGCACAGGCAATCACGCACAGTATCTCTACCATTCCAAAAATCCAAATCCGTATTCCATATGGCCTCAACGCCCAGAAGATTGTCTTTGTTCGATCGTCGTATCGTCGCATCGTCTCATCATCTTCTTCGTCGTCCCTACGCCGTCGGTCGCCGAAATCGTGGAATCACCATTGTTGAACATCCGTAAGATCTATCTTCGTCAAAATCACCTTCGATGACTATTTGTGACAACGCAAGCGTCGAAATGGGCAAAAAAACGTAAGCATTCTACTCATTCGTGTATTTAAACCCTAAATCTCTTTTTCAACAAACAACATTGTGAACTTTCACAAATATCCTCTGTTTCTATTCATACAATATATAGGAGTCCATATTGTTCATACCCTGACCTTTTATCTGAACCCCTCAATCGTAATCTCTAATTATATTGATTTTTTCAGTCAAAAACATTACAGTTGTCATTATGTTGTGTTCACAACTGTGAACATTCAAATGGTTTGAAAAGATGTTGGCCAAACCAAATTGTTTCTGTTGTTGTTGTTGTTATTGTTGAAAGCTATGAACATTCACATTGATTGAAAATGTTTGGATAATCAAATTATTCCAAATATTATTGGTGTTGTTGTTCAATGCTGTGAACATTCACATGGATTGAAAATGTTTGGCCAATTCTGTTGTTGTTGTTGTTGTTGTTGTTGTTGTTGTTGTTGTTGTTATTGAAAGCAGTGAACATTCATATTGATTGAAAATGTTTGGATAATCAAATTATTCCAAATATTGTTGGTGTTGTTGT